CCATGGCGATGACCACCTGCTGCAGCGCTTCGCGGACTGAGACGGGGGTGCCTTGAATCAACCTTCATCAAAAGGCGTCGCATCTTCCTCGTCAAACTGGTGCTCTTCCAACACTGCCACAGCTGAACCTGTGCAATCTGCAAGGCTGCCAGCAGGTGGGAAATGCTCCTGAAACACGGGACAGTCCAAATGTCCGATGTGCCTTTTAACTCAGACTCTGTGCCAGGCAATCTAATGTGCGTGAGTGAGCTTTCATGTTTTTCTTTTCTTATCCTTTTGTAAACAGGGAACAATAATGCAGCTGGTTAGCGTTACAGGAAAATATTGCTGACACCACTAGGAGAAAACCTAACGGAGTTTTGTAATATGTTTACAAATGAGCTATTTTTTAATTTTTTTTGAATAAATACTGCTTGGTACTTGTACACTAGACATGTGCCTTAGTTCTCTGGGTTTGTGGTGGTCACTGACTCTTGAATAATCCATCTTGGCTTCTGCACGAGTGGATGCAGGGGAAAGCTGGAGATGGATAGATGATATAGGTGCCTTTCTTCAGAAAAAATAGTAATAGGTGAGGATATTTCAGAAATGTGAAACAATCTTACCCTAACAGGCAATACTCTTGTAGCCTTAGTCTGCTAAAATTAGAAGCTTTTTGTACCTCAATGTGAAATAAATCATTTCTGTATGTTAATGTAGGTGCCATGTTTTGTGTAGTTGTGAGTAATGCTGAAGTTAAGCTCATAGAAAGTAGTTTATGGTATCTGAGATTCTATTTTATTTTTTTTTTCTTTAAGAGAAATGCTAATCATTTTATGATCAGTTGCTCTCTACTTTCTGGGATTTTTACTTTCCTAAATATTTACAGAATGTGTTCTGTTACTATTAAGTATGGTGGTTTAGTTTACATTAATAATTCTCTCTGTGTGGTCTAGAAGCGAACTAATTAAAAAGGTCCAAACTGTGGTTACATCTGAAATGCAAAAGTTTCAGATGGCGTTTGGTAGTTCGTTGAGACCACGGATGCTACGTGGGCTCCCTTGAATTTAGTGTTCGCCTCCAGATGAACTGCTGTGGAAGCGAGCGGCTCCGGGAAGAGGTTAGTGGGCTGTGGAGACATTCATCTCAGCGCTGTGCGTTCTTTGCTGACCCCAAGTGCTCGTGACTACAAGTAATCTCCATACCATAATTGCAAGGGGGCGATTTGGGACGTTTTCCTTTCAAATGAGCAAGTGCCTGCAAAAGACACTGTAGTAACCGGTACCTTCATTTGGAGTTCAGTGAGTGAATGGAGAGAACAAGACTTTAAGTTCTTAGGGGGTTTTGTTCCATCTTAGTATTCAAATAGTGAGAAAAGAGAGAGTGGGGGAATAGTTGCCTTAACATTTGCCTTTTAGAGGGAGCGTAGATTTGAAGGTCAAGTCTTGATTCTATGGAAGTCATTAGGAAAAATCCTTCAGTAATTCATTTTGATAGGCAGCAGTCTTCATGAGGGGCCAGGCTTAAATGTCAGTGTATATGTTAAGGGCCATAACTTTTATAGATGCATTATTTTAGGTAATTTAACTGAAAGAAGACAGAATCAGGCCCTGAAGAGTCTTAAATTTCTGTTCCTTTTTGGACACCTAGGTGCTTTCAGCCATTTATGACTATCTATGGAATACACCACTGTTTATTGTTAGAAATGAAATGGGGATTACTGAGTAAAGCTGTGTATCACACTAACATTAGCTCTATCACTGGATATTCTTCCAATGGGAGATGCATAGATGCTGTACATGGTTATAATCAAATATGTCAATAAATCCACTTGCTGAAAGAAAGTTGGTGTCCTAACAGTGATTTAAGAATGATACAATGTGATGTACATAGACCAGTTGTAACTTCTTAGTATTACTAGAGTGCAGTTTTTTAGGACTGCAGATTTTTGTAGTTCCTTTTAGTTCATCCTGTCTTGCCTTTTCAGTGTGTTTTTTCCTGCATACTGTGTTTTCTCTCTTGATTCTGTTGTGTTGGGCTAATGCAAGAAAGTGTGAGTACTCTATGCAGATGAGGAGAATCTTGCAATATACCAGTAATGCGCACCCTAAAATAATTAAAATGGTCAGAAATACTGAGAGAGGAAGAGCATTGGCCCAAGACAGACTAATGAAGTGCTGTTAGATTCTTGAACTAATGATCCTTTCTAAGCTAAATAATAAACAATTAATTGTTTGGGATAATATCAACCTTCTAGACTAATAGGAAGCTACGGTGCTGAAGGTTTTTCCATGTTATCAGGCTAATGATAAAAACGTGTTGTCATATTGAACACATACATGTTTTTCTAATAAATATTTCACTGCTGCTTTTCAAATTTATACAAACCTCTCAAGAATTGCTACAGATAAGAGTGAAATGGCTCTTTGTTCCAACTTCAAGGAAGTAACAAAAAAGAATGGATAACACAATGAAGCTGGTGACTTCCTGGAAGTCATGTGTACTATGGGAATGGTTAAGCTTTGGGCATTGATGATTTTACAGCTTTTTTATTATTATTATTATGGAGGCCTTCACTAGCAAATGAGTGAGGAAAGAGAAATGCCAGTGATATTCAGTGACTGAATATGTAAATATTACCTGGTTATAGTTTTACCAGTAGTAAAGCAATTATGTATTTTTGCTTCTTTCTAAATGAAGATCCTTTCAAAAGAATACTCACAAAAGAGCCCTTTCTAATTGAATGAATCTGTCATTGATTTGTGCTCAGAATATTTCTGTCTTTTTTTTTTCTGGCAAAAGTAGAATTTGCCTGTCCTATTTCCACCTGGAATCCATGCAGCTTGCGGAAAAGTGAACTGAGTGCTGGTAACTATTTACTAGGCATGTTATTTAGCCAAAGATTGAAAATCACCTGCAGCTAGGTCTGTCAGAAGGCTCTGCAGAAGAGAAGGGTGGCAGGTTTTCCCATTGGCAGCACTGCCTGCTTGAGCAGCCTCTGCCCTCCTCCTTCTCCCACCCCTAATCCCTGACCATCCTCTGCAGTCCCCTGACATAGTAGTGTGGGAAGCTCTGAGGTGAACTGGGAAGTTGATCCTGCTGGAAAATGACCTTTTCTTGTACCTTTCCCTTATTTTTCCAGACGTCCAACTCTCTTTGATCTGGCAACTAACTCTTTGGTAGTGACAAAGAGCTGGTGTGCAAGGCAGAGCAGTCAGAGACGCAGGCACCCATACCTTTAACCAGTGGAAAACTGGAAATGCTTAAAACTCCTTTATGAGAACCTGAAAACAATCACTGAATTTGAGAGCAACATGGCTGGAAGGGGATGATCTGAAGAGGACAGGGCTATAACGGTGTTGGTGATGGAACTCATGTACATGAAGAGCCCTTGTTATCCAAAATAAACCTTGACTACCAGGGTCTGGGTTAACAGAGTTGAAGATAGATATACAAATTCAAATTTCTTCATGCAGTGCTGCCTTCAGGTTTCACAATGTGCTGCAAATGCCACATCTTAAGGTATTTTCATCATTTAAACCATGGTTTATGACAAGGATCTCATAAATGCTATACATATATATGTGTATATATATCTTGTATATACACACATCTATCTATCTATCTATCTATCTATCTATCTATCTATCTATCTATCTATCTATCTATCTATCTATCTATCTATCTATCTATCTATCTATCTATCTATCTATCTATCTATCTATCTATCTATCTATCTATCTATCTATCTATCTATCTATCTATCTATCTATCTATCTATCTATCTATCTATCTATCTATCTATCTATCTATCTATCTTGTGCCTTTTGTTTCTTCTTGTTCTTCCTTGGTGGATAATTGGAAAATAAGGATTTGAGAAATAAAAAGTAATCCACTGCAGTTTCATCAGTATACTGATTTAAGTAGTAAACATACATTCAGATTGCAGTGTATGAGTTCACAGAAATATCATTTGTATTCATGGCAGTGTGTGTATTTGCAGCAAACTCCTGCAGTGAGCAAGAGAAACAGTATTTCATTTCCAAATCAGACGGCCACCAAGGACATACCTGTGTTGTGTGAGGTCTGCAAGTCAAGTGCCTTAAAAAGTGGTTTTCAAAACAAAACAGTGAAATTATATATATCCACTGATATATGCGATTTTTCACCTCAGCAACTCTTTTGATAGGAGTTACTATATAAATGTTGATCAGGTGTCTGTTAAGTAGAAATGGGGAATAAATGTAAGGAAACTTGGTTTTTGTTGGGTGCTAACTGTTCTTTTTTGTTCTCTTCTAAATATAACAGTTTTGGCAGTTTGTCCAAATAAGACTGTTGTGTTTCTCTTCATAAAAAGTTGACTTTTATCAGGAGTATGTTTTATTTCCCATAGAAAATAAATTCCCTTGGAAAAACAGTCAATTGTATTAGAACACAAATATTTGTCTTAATATCATTCCAGATGAACTTATTTATATAAATGCTCCATGATATGTTTTCTTGAAGTAAATCTATATCTTGTTTGCTTTTACAAACAAGGCCATAAAAAAATGAGTAATGCACTATGAATAAATAGCTTGAAGAAAACTGCCTAAATATGTTATTGAGATATTTATTATCAAAGAAGAATCCAACACTTTAAAGATAATCTGTGATCATTTGTAGTATGATGGGTATCTCATTTTCCCCGGAATGCCTT